GGACCTACAATAATGTACAGTATTTGAAAAATAATGTGTTTTTTGAACATTAAAGCATGTCAACATATTCTGTTACATCAAATACACAAAATAATGATCTTTAAAAAAGCATCATATGACCCCTTTAAATGCTATAATTTGCAAATACATTATATTAATTATAGGGATGCACCGAATGTTCGGCAACCGAAATTATTCGGCCGAAAATAGCAAAGAAATCTCTTTCGGTGTTCGGCCGAATAAGCGAAAAGGCCGTACCGAAGATACCGAAGAATGACGTGACGCAATCAAATAGAGGCATGCACTAATGCAGCAAACATGACGAAGTATTTAAAGTATTTAAAACTATCAGAGAAAGCTGCAGAAATCATTACAAGCACGAAGCAACGACCGCGAGAGACTGTTTAGTGCTGCATCACATGTCTCCGATGAGAAGAAGAGGTGGCTGATGCTGGTGGTTAGGCTACTGTATGATGATTGAAATTGCGAAATCCATTTTAGAACCGGTTCCAAATTTCCAATAATCGGGTATTCGATAAGACATGTGCATTTCGATTCCGCTTAACGATTCCCCTGTTCGCATTTTAATGTGATTTTAAACTATTTAAGTGCAGGAAGGGAAAGAACTTGCACACTGTTTGCGTGCAGCGCACACATCTGAAGCGCGAGCACAGAGAACAGTGGTCCCGATGCAGGTTCCCAGCCTGTGTCCGTTCTCGAACTGTTCCGTGCATTTCCACAAAGGTTGTTCCGGGCCAGAACTGACTTCTCTTTCACATTTACCGACCAGTATACACGAAATACGTCAGTATATCATCATAAACACGTAAACAGATGAGAAAGAAAATGCATGTGTAACAGTATTTTTAGATCTGTGTGTGTTCGGCGTTAAAGAGACAGCCGTCTAATAAATGTGCTGCCTATCATTAATGTTAATCAAAGAAAAAAGAAAATCATTAACTGACTGAATATCTTTCGTAAATTTAATGAGGATTAATCAATATTTTATTTATGAAAAGAAAACTATGCAGTGTTTTTAAACTTTTTATTTCAGTTTCTGTACCTGACATTTGTTCAGTTTTATTTATTTATGCTATTGCTAATTAATTTGTTTACTTGTCTTTAACAACTTAATGTTTGAAATTTATATTAGTCTAGCTGTTTTTTTCTGTGGTATTTTTTTTTAATAAAACCATAGACATAAAACAGAATAAATATGTTTGACATCTAAATATTTGACTTAAAATTTGTTTAATGGATTTTTTTTATCTTACTGGAATCGGAATTAGGAATCGATAAGAATCGGAATCGATAAGCAGAATCGGAACCGGAATCGATAAAATTCAAACGATACCCAACCCTATGCAGAATGTTATATTTTCTAATGCACGCACGAATTGCATGTATTTCACAGCGCTGCACGAGCTCGCGGCACCAGGGTTCAAAGTCCAAAGCGCGAGGAAAATCTGCGGTAAAACTGTTACTCGTCAGTTGCTCGGTAACATTTTTTGTGAATTTTTTTAAAGGTATGTGACAATGTGATACGTACGACAAACATGTTCCCAAATTCATAATGAGAATCATTTATAAACCTGCATGCTGTTGTCAACAAAAAGAAGCACTGAGATCTTCCTGTGGGTTTCTGCCAAAATAAAAGCTGAGAAAAAGCAACAACTCCATCAACATTCATAAATGATAGTATTGTAATTTTACTGTTGTTCTGTAAAATAAAATAAAAAAGACAATAATAATGATAATAATAATTACCCTACAACAGCTCTATTAATACATTTATTATAAATCAATCAGATTAAATTGGGATCTGTAATATATTCTAATGTTTTAAAAGAATTCTCTTCTGCTCAGCAAGGCTGCCTTTATTTGTACAGTAAAAAATACATGCCTGATTCAAGTCTCAAAAATGGCCAAAAAAATATTATTTTACTAACTTATTAATTTTAAGTTAAATTATGCTTTGTTGGTATAGGCTACTGTCTGATAGAATGTTAAAAAAATGTTCAGTGTCAAGTAAATATTTTTAAATTGTTGTTTTGTAATAGATTTTTTTGTTTTGAAAAGCAGGGCAAAACAGTAAAAAGCACATTTTGGCTATTTAATTTATGCAATGGTGAAAAAAAAAAAAGAAGGCAAAATAGACCTAAATGGGGGAAAATGCGAAAAACTGTGTTCGGTATTCGGTCTTCAGCCCAGTGTTTCATTTTGTTTGGCTTCGGCCAAGAATTTTCATTTCGGTGCATCCCTAATTAATTATGAACAAACTGCAACTGGACATGTGTGTGAGCTACAACCAAAGACCATTTCCAAGCGAGGAAAAACCCTGCATAACTCTTCACATTCATGTACATCAACCTAAACAAACAATTAATTTCTCCTTTCATTCTCCACTGGTGAAAGCAAAACAGGATGTGTCAAATGAGCTACACCACAGACTTTACACCACACCTCCTCAAGCTCAACAGAATGGCTTCATACTCACCGGGCTCAAGTTTGATGATCTTCACTGCTGCAAGCTCTCCAGTAGAGATGTTACGAGCCTGCAGAATACAAACACAAGGAGGGAAGAGTGATTTAAAAAGGAGAGAGCGAGAATAGTTTCCGATCAAAACACTGGAATGTGAGCGTGTAAGTGAGAGCCGTGTCTCTGATGGAAACAGTCTCATCGTTTCCAAATTGAAGTAGGACGACAGCCATTAAAACACATAAGCACACACAGAAAAGAGTCTTGTGGGCTGTCCTGGATGAAATGTCTATTTAATACCTCTATTTTAGACAACTAGCTTTAAGGTTTGCACACTTTTTTTGCTAGTGAATTTTCTTGCCATTTCCATGAATGTTTTACGATTAATGGATATGGATTTTTTAAGTTAACTTTACATAGACTCACAAAGAGAAATTTCAAATTCACCATACAAACATCTATGACATTTATAAGATTTTATGCATTTCCCAGACATTCTCAGGATTTCTGTGACTGTGTGAACTCTGCAGCTTGTCATATAACCTGCAGGTGTTATTTAGCAGTTCATAAAAAGTGTTTATCATAAGACTGAGCCAGATAAACAGGCCAGTATGATTGTGTGTGAATGTGTGAGACAACATGAGTAGCAAGACACATCCACATCCGAGTTAGAAAAACAAGTGTTTGGAAGGAAGTTACATGTGGCCTGAGCCTCAGTGAGAAAAACACAGCACACCACATGTACCACCAATTCAGTCAATGCCATCCATCGATAACACACAACTAAGTAAATCGGTATGACTGCTTTGTACTATCTTTACTGTACGGTAAAACACACAGTAGCAGCACCTTGAAAGCTATCAGTTATCTGAACCAGGTAACTACATTTTATTACCAAGCAGGCGAGATTATGCTGACCATAGCCTTATATCCTTATGAATACAGTTAACTAATCTTAATACAATTTTAAACTATATTCTGTAACCCATTATGCTTTAGAATACCATTCTTAAACTAGACTGAGACCAGTAAACCAGCCCAATTTGATCTGTGGCTGAGCAATATACTGAATATTCACAATATATCTGCAATGGTTTTGCTGCTTTAAACTTTCTTTTTCGATAAATTAATTCAAAGATACAATTTTTCATCATTAAAAAAAATTCTTGCTGCTGTAAAAATTGCTGTTTATTGTTCTATTTAGGGCTCTTTGAAATGTTATATTTTTCTCTAAATTCTGTTTTGTTTTTCCCCAAATTCTATGTTTCTGTGGTTACGATAAATTTGAAGAATAAAAGAAAAACAGTCAAATGAAAAAGACTCTTTAACAATTTAATATATTATTAAAATTTAAACAATATTGGTGCAAATAAATTTTCCTAAATAAGCAAAAAGTAGTGTAGAAAACATGTCTTTGGTATTTTTACTGCATTTTTATTTACTACATTTTAACATTTAGAGTAAAATTAGCTGATCTGGCTCAGCTGTTTAAAAAACAAAAATGTTAAGTTGTTTAAAAACAAACACAATGATTTATTAGATATAATACAAATCCTGAATATAGTAAAAACAGTTATAATTGAGATATAATGGTTTTAGGTTAGCATCCAGCCTTACAGTAAACAATAACCTTAGGACCCTAATGTAATCGGACGGATCAATGCTGAACCCTCAGATCATCCACATAACCAGCAGCCACACACCCAGCCAGGAAGTGTGTCCAGTGAACAATAACAGAAGCAGTGAATGTAATATGCAGACCTACACACACACACACACACACACACACACACACACACACACACACACACTCACTCCT